GTCAGGAAAATAAACCTCTTGTTCCAGTGATCGTTTCTTCTTCTTCCAAACTCTGATGAGTAGGTCTTCCTAACACCTAGCATAGGACGTTACGCTCTCATTACAAATTTTAACACGACATGCTTACTGAACGACCGGATCATTTCTTAGCCAAATAGCCCAACCGCACGAACCTGTTTATTAATTGAATCAGCTTTTGGTGAGAAAACAGTATTTAACTAAACAAGTACTAACTTACTACGGTTTTAATACCACGCATACTTCAGGTGGATATAAATTATAAGCTAATGAGTTTTCTCTCTGTTACGCAAAGCTTCGTGGTAGCTTCGTGTCCTTCCATGCCAAGATCGATAAATACAACAAAGCCCCAATTGGCACTTTTCTTGCACCGGACGCACGTTTTGCACATGTCCATATCGAACTGGAAAGTCCTTTGCCAACAATCCGTACATGCAACTATTTACTTACTGCGATTGACCGATTTACTTGTTGACCCATTGCAAATCCCATACCTAATATAACTGCAGATTCGGTTGCTCACGGCTCTTTGGAACATTATGACGTTGCCTAAACTATTACCACCGATCGAGGCCAAACATTTGAGTCGAGACCTTTTAACAGCCTTACCAATTTACTCGGATCTTCTCGTATACGCATGACAGTCAACCACCCCTCATCAAATAGTTTAGGCGAACGTTTCCATCATCAACTCAAAGCTTCGCCCCGAGCTTATGGCAATCCCTCCTATTGGAACGAGCATCCGCCATCGGTCGTGCTTGGTATCCGTACTGCACTCAAGCCGGACTTGGAGTGCTCCTCTGCCAAACTTCTTTACGGCACTACCCTACGTATCCTCGGTGACATTTTCGGGCATTCTCAAACATCACCCGACTTGGATCCCACAGATTATGTTGAAAGATTGCGCCGAGCAATTGCACATCTTCGAGCAACTCCTCCACATGTAAGTCTTATGTAAGACCTTACTTGCTAAGGTGTGTCATGTATTTTTCCGCTCAGATGGTGTTAGTCGGCCTCTACAACTATCTAACGATGGAACATTGCAAGCACTATCTCGCACGGACGAACA